AAAAATCCAATAAATCAAATACTGTTCTAGTCTTTGTCTCTGTAACACCCTCTCCAAGAGTAAGTGTTGTGTTCCTTGTAGGAGAAAAGATCTGAGCTGTCCTCTTTGCTTCCTTAAGGCAGTTTGTTTTTTTTTTTAAACTCTGTCCCTCACCTCTCCTATTTCAAACATCCAACCATTACAGAGAAAAAGAAAGCACCTACAATCCTCCAAAATGAAACAATATGTTTATAGACCTGGAAACAAGAAAAAAATGAAATGGAAACAAAGGCATCTTCTAACACATATTTTCATGTTATTTTATCCAGCAAGTCAAATCTCTCCCTGGTCTGGGCTATCTCTGTACCTCGCAACTCTTCTACTGCCATGCTTAGCACAATGAATGTATAAACTTTCTACTTACTTAAGTGTTTCTTGCACTAGACCACAGGCTGCCACTAGGTCTTGCTACCAGAGCAAGAACTAGGCCTTAATCATTGCTGTATCCCATGCCATAGCACAAAGCTTCCTCACAGGAGGCACACGATGGTTACCTACATCTATGAACTAGAGAATGCATCCAAAGGGTTTTCAAGAAAATGAGAGCCAGAAGTAGATATCAGGAGCTATAATCTGAAGTTATAAAACTCAAGAGGCAAGAAGGGAAGAACTGCCAGCTAGGAAATACAAGCAAGAAGGGGGGGTTTGGGTAAATCCCTGAAACAAAGACTATGTTCTGAACAGATTGTGTGAAGGAAAAAGATGAGAAACATTGGAAAGTTGGCAGAAAACTTAAGAAAATGGGATATTTAGGTTTGCAATTTGTAATATGCTACACTTTTACGTTTATATTGGTAAACAGCATCTCTAATATGTGAAGTAAGATTTCTGAATGAGTCTCACCAATCCCTCTCCATCATCACCCATGCCCAACAGTCTCAATTCCTCACTGGTATCTCTTTAAGCCTTTCCCAGTGTTTGATTCTCACTCCTATCACCTTTGTTCAGGTCCCCATTATTTTTCACTTGAGTTGTTTTCTCCTCCAAATTCAATTCTCTGTTTCCAGTCTGTGTCCCTCAAAAACTCTTCTTTGATATGAAAATATCTTCCTAAGATTTGGCTCTGATTATACAACTTCCTGGTTCAATCATCTTCAATGGCCCCCTATTTACAAAGGTCTCCAGAATATAATTCTATTTATTGCCACAAAGTATAAGTAACATGGCAGAGTGCAACCTGCCTGAACAACAGAGTCAAATGGAACTAAGTTTTGAAAATGGCATCCACCACTTACTAGCAATGCGACCACGAGAGTCACTTTTGCCTAAGACTCAGGTTTCCAATGAGATAGAGAAAAAGACTAAGAAAAAGAGAGAACTAACACTTAAAAAGTGTGTGGCTAGCCCAGCATTGGGTACATGATACAGGCTCAGCATCTTTCCCTCAATTTTTCTGCCCAGACCAGCACTCCAGGCTTGATGATGCCCCTACCCAGCCCTGGACACTGTGCTCTATGATGTTATTCTCTGTGCTCTCAAAGACTACGGATCATAATTTATAAATCACTTATCCTGTCATGCTTGTATTTTATTTTCTTATAAGTATATTTATTTATAGTTACTGTTTTGAATAATTAGTTTTTTCTACCTTCTAGATTCAAAATTTGAAATTTGAGAACAAAGTTTTGACCTTGTTGATCAAGATTGTCCAACTGGTGGCCCCACACAAATTCATAAACTTTCTCAAAACATTATGAGTTTTTTGTGATTTATTTTTTTAGCTCATCAGCTATCGTTAGGGTTAGTGTATTTTATGTATGGCCCAAGACAATTTTTCTTCTTTCAATGTGGCCCAGGGAAGCCAAAAGATTAGACACCCCTGTTCTTCATCTTCATATCTCCCATATTATATTCCATCACGTACTACATAGAATAGGAACTATTTAAGTGTCTACTAAACTGGGGTTCATTGTATAATTTTATCCAAGTGTCTACTAAACTGGGGTTCATTGTATAATTTTATCCAATCATTGTACGATTTATCCAAGTTTTAAGTTGAAAATTCTTTTTGGTGTAAAAATTAATAGTAAGGAGCAGAATAGAGAATTGCCATACTGAAAATAGAGTATATCCCTATAGTACCCAACACCAGCCTTGAAATACAGTTAGTGTTCCCTAAGTTAATTTTTGTCAGATTAAAAACCTACTGTGGAATATGTTTTTTAAGAGAATGTTGTCCTTGAAAATAAAATGGTTTTAGTCAAAAAATACTTTGTCAAGAGAGGATAGTAACATCTACCCAAATCCATCAACAGTCTTGGGGGGGGAAATGCCCAAAGAAGATCAGTTCTAAAGGGATAGGACAGTAAAATTATCATACTTTGTAATATGAATTTTCATCTAAATAGGTTTGTGTTCTCTATTTCCACAGAGACTTAAACCTGAGAAAATGAGCTTAAATTGCATACAGAAATGTACAATGACATAGGATTCTTTGGGTAAGGCACACAAAAATTGTTTCCCATTTTATTTTGGGTAAATAATATGAAGAGCTAATCTTTGAACAAATTAAAAATTAATATAGTCACTCTTTTTTTAGTTCTATATCTTGAAGGCAAAGTAACCAAAATCAAACTTTTATGGTAATGTATACAATAGTTGTTACTGGCATAACTTTTAACAGTTGTTACTGCTGATTTTTTTTTTTTTATATATGGCAAAATGATTAAGATCAAGAACTGTCGGGGTGGGGGGGGCCCCAGGGTTAAATCTCCTACAGCTTTAGATCATGACGAAATTACCTTCCCTCCAAATCTCTGTTTCATCACATACTATGGCGACAATTGGAGCATCTAACTGAAAGGTAGCTGTGAGAATGAAAAGATTAAATGATGCTGGTCATAAAGCATTGTGCCTGAAACAAAATGAGTACTTGATAAATGGCAGCTATAATAATGGTAATCATTACTATAAGTTTATCCAGTTGTAATCATTTTAGCTACCTACTAGAAATGCATACTCCTTACAAAGCAGTCTTCTTTGATCCAGGCGTGGTGGCGTGGGCCTGCCTGTGGTCCCAGCTACTCAGGAGGCTGAGGTGCGGGGATCACTGGAGCCCGAGAGGTTGAGGTTGAAGTGAGCGAGATGGCGCCACCGCACTGCAGCCTGGGCGGCAGAGGGAGCCTTCGTGTCTACATAGCTAACTGGCCGGGAGGAACGGCTCACGCCTCTAACCCCAACACTTTGGGAGGCCGAGACGGGCAGATTACTTGAGGTCAGGAGTTCAAGCCTAGCCAACATGGTGAAACCCCATCTCCACTAAAAATACAAAAATTAGCTGGGCGTGGTGGCGGGGGCCTGTAAATCTCAGCTACCTGAGACAGGAGAATCGCTTGAACCCGAAGGCGAAGGTTGCAGTGAGCTGAGATGGCACCATTGCACTCCAGCCTGGGCCACAGTGCGAGACTCCGTCTCAAAATTAATAATTAGTTAATTCGTTAATTTAAAAACAAAGCAATCTTCTTTCAAAAGCGATCCCAAGGCTGCTGGAGGCTGGACCCGCTCAGTCGCCCCCTACCGCGCGGGCGGCTTCGTCCCGGACCCCCTTTCGGCGCTGTGCGGCTGCTGGAGGCACTCGGCGGAGCCAGGGCGGGCACCGGAGCCCGACTGGGCCGAGCCGCCGCTCCCGACCGAGCCACCCGCACGGCCCCGCCCGCCCGGCGGGGTGAGTGACGGCGGCAACAGGTGCAGAGCGGCATCCGCGGCTTCTCGGGAGCCCCCGAGTTTGGCGCGTCAGGCCCCGAGGGTCAGTTTGATTCTGGAACTTTCTTCGCTTTACACCCGTCTTCGGAAGTCACCGGTCAATCGGCTTCTTCCACCTCAGTAAAGCCTTAAGGTCACCTCAATCTCTCGAAACCCACCAGTCGCAGAGGCCGACTATTCTCAAGTGGAGGAGAGGGGAAGGCGTGCGGTGCATGGAGCTTTGCCTGACCGCTCGCTCTCTCCTCCCCAGCCGTCTGAGAGCAGGCGACAGGGGTCCTAGAACCGAGCCCTCGCTCCGCACGCCGCACGCCCCGCGCCCGCCACGCTGTGCTGCGCGCTCCGCCCCCGAGGCGCCCCGGCTCGGAGTCCCAGGGCCACAGCCGAAACTCGCCCGCCCGCGCCCCTCTCGGCTTGCGGCGCCCGCCCGCACTGCCGCCTGCCACCCGAGGTGACGCCGTCTGCTCCCGCCCGCCCGCCAGGTGGCAGGTTCAGGGCCTGGGACCGAGCCTGCTCCCCTGCAGCTGCCACCCCCGCCCTCCCCGCCAGGGGGCGAGAGTCCCAGCCAGGACACGCACGCTGCTGCCTTGGCGTGAAGGTGGTTTCAAACTTTAAACTTCGCTTCCCTACCCGTTGTCTCTGAAGAGGTGAGAGGAAGATGGAAACCGAGTCCAGGCCGGTGAGTACGGCGCTCAGGGCCCCAGGGCCCGCGGTCGCTGGGAGAAGGAGCAGTGTGGAGCCCGTCGTCCCTGAGGGCCTGGAAGGGCGAGGTGTCGACCGCGGCGAGAGCCGCCGCCCGCAGGCGCCGTCCGGCTGTGTCGTGGGGTCATGTAGGCGCCGCCACGGGGCCTGGACTGGGTGTAGACGAGCCAGGGGGCCTCAGGCGCCGATGTTTCTGGAGGCGGCGGGCAGCCGGGCACCCGGCGGAGTCCGAGCGGCTAAACCACTTTCCCGCCGAAACTGGGCTCCACGGCGTCTTTGACGCTCCCTCCGGCCGAGCTCTTCTCAGCCGCCCACGGCGAGGAGTCGCCAGGGCGGTCGACGCCTCCACTCCTCGACTGGTCAGCGAGGACCGGAAGGCCTGAGAGACCCGGGGCGGGGGTAGGGGCAGGCTTTAGCCCAGGTGGGACCCGAACATTCTAGCACCGTCTGCGAGCCAGAGCCAGGGCGGACTCGGGGAAGTGAGGGAGGGCGGCCAGGACAGGCCCGAGGGGCAGGGGCAACGTGCCGCCCCGCCCCGCCCCGCCCCGCCGCCAGCAGCCAATCAGAGCGCGCCGCACAAGGGTGGGGGCCAGCGGCGCACGAGGCCGGCGGCGGGGTCGGTGCCGTTGACGTTGAGGGTTCCCGCCACTGCTACTGGCGGATTTGCGGGGCAAAATTTCTCGCTGGCTCGCCTTCTTTTCCCTCCCGCACTTTGGTGGGGAGGGGGTGGATCCTCGTGTCGGTCCCCAAGTTCACGATGACCCGAGAGAACTCGAGGAAGTTGTCGCCGCGGCCATTTCTCCCAGTGCCTCAACGTGCTGGCCTCGAAGGGGGAGGAGCGCCGAAGCCATGACTGCGACGGTTAGCCCGCCCTGCTCCTGCTGTCTGCGTTTGCAAAATAGATGCTAGATCTCGAGGTTGATTCTCAAGGGGAGGAGGCGGTGAGGGCACATTGCTTTGGAGGAGACGTTTAATAGACTCTTTAGTGCTGGAAGTTTTAGCAAGCTGAGCCTTCAAACCATACTGTAGTCCCCATCTAAGTGCTTCCGTAACACTTGAGGAATTATTGCTAGTGGCATTTCAGGCTTTCTTTGTTGTTTAACTCAAATATATCACTAATTGGTTTTTTGTTTTTTTTTTTTTGTTTTTTTTTTTTTTTGAGACGGAGTTTCGCTCTTGTTACCCAGGCTGGAGTGCAATGGCGCGATCTCGGCTCACCGCAACCTCCACCTCCTGGGTTCAGGCAATTCTCCTGCCTCAGCCTCCTGAGTAGCTGGGATTACAGGCACGTGCCACTATGCCCGGCTAATTTTTTGTATTTTTAGTAGAGACGGGGTTTCACCATGTTGACCAGGATGGTCTCGATCTCTTGACCTCGTGATCCACCCGCCTCGGCCTCCCAAAGTGCTGGCATTACAAGCTTGAGCCACCGCACCCGGCCTTCACTAATTGGTTTAATGAACTTAGATGTTGCCTTTACCTGAGCCTTGCTATTGCTTAACATTAAAATATTTTGTAGACTGCTATTACACTGTATTTTTTAGCCCTCAGCCCTATTTGGCATATCGTGAGCAGGTCTGTCCTGAAGAAATGATTCACTCATTTGATCATTCAACAGATATCCATTGAGCACCTGCTCTGTACTGTCAGTACTTTAGATGCTGCTGAGAAAAATGCAAAACTTCTACCCTAGTGCATTACATAATAGTGGAAAGAGACAGAAAATAAACATAATAAGTAAATTATATCGTATGTTAGAAAATGATAAGGGAGAAAAATTAAGCAGTTCGAGCCCACAGTAGACCAGGAGCCTTAGAGAGCGGAGGAGAATGAAGTGGATTGAGTGTAAAAGGTTGTTTTTCTTTTCTCAGAGAGTATCCTTTAGTTTCTAAAGATTGGAAATAAAGCACTGTTTACTTCCATTCATTTCATCCCTCTCTCAATGAAACATGATGGGGTTTGTCCCTTACTTAAACTTGAGAACAAATGAGTTCATCTTATTCATCTTATTTTCATTAAGAAAATTTCATGATGATTTTTTTAATTTAGCAAATAGGTGATTTTGACACTGTAAACAAATGGGCATAGAGCTTTTATATTATCTCTAGCCAACATAAAATCAACAGTTGAACAATACTAAGCATCCCAGAATTACCCATTCTGAGCATTATATCCTACTGAGCAAAGTGACTGAAGCCAATAATAACTTCCAAGTGCCCAGAGAGAAAGCTATTAAGATTAGAGCCCCAATTTTTTAAATTGGAAACTACAACATAGTAATTATTAAATGCAGTGGCTTTTCTGTGTTTTAAAAGAAATATTTATGTATTCATCATTGGAAGTACATACTTTCTTAAATGGAGGAGGAAGAGAGCCCATAAGGTCTAGCCTATAGCCCACTTGCCACTGCTGCCCTAGTCATTTCTTTGTACATCTTGCAGAGATTAATTTAGGATTGTGGTTTTATTGGCCAGAGAAGAAAGAGCAGGACAAATTTGAAAAAGAACAACTCTGTAACCTGGAAACTCATTTTCATGTGTTTGTTTCTCAGAGAATTGGAATTATGAACTTCAAGCTTTTTTGTTATTTTCTTTTTTCTTCTTTTCGAGACAGGATCTTGCTTTTTTGCTCAGGCTGGTCTTGAACTCCTGGCCTCAAGCAATCCTCCTGCCTCAGCCTCCTCAGATTATAGGCACAAGCCACAAAACCCAGTTTACTTCAAGTTTTTTGAAGCATACATTTAGTATATTAGACTGTCCCAGAAGTCTGTTTAATGTTTTCAGATGGAAAATAATTCACAAGTTTTTGAATTGGTTTCTTTTCAACATAATTTTCAAGTCTTTTTTTTTTCAATTATACCTTAAAAGTATATTATCTTATCATTCTGCAAAGGTTTACACATTTATATATATTTATTAAAATTTAAATTAGGTCCTCTAACTTAGAATTGTGAACATATGGATATGTACTGAATTAATTCTTTGGAATAAACATTTATTGGCTGTAAGTATATAATTTTAACAAAATCAGTCCAATCTTCAAACTGACAAATGCATTTAAAATTTTTACTTTCAGGATGAAAATGGTGAATGTGAATGTCAGAGTTTATTAAGTTGGCAATGACCATTAGTTAAAGACCAATAGGAATACATACATCACTTAATAAAGTTGGGTCTGCTAATTTTTCAAACAAGGGAAAACATAAACCATAGGGCCTCTCAGTCAGAGAGTTTAGAACTTGTAGGATATAGGCTTGTGTTGAATGATTTTTAGAGAATGTTTAAGTAGAGCTTTACTCTGGAGTGCATGTTGTCAGGAAATGGTAGTAATTCTATGATTGGATGTGTTAACTTTTATCTAAAAGGCAAGAAAAATGGATCGAGACTAAAACTATAAAAAAAAGAGCAGTCACTTATCATCCAGAATAGGGGGATGTTTGGTTATTCTTGTGGTTTGGGCAATGCCTTTGTTTTTGTCAGCATTCAAACATAATTATGAAGTGATCTTGTTTTTAATCTTCATCCGTCAGGTCACAGGGTGACCTTTGTCTGGTGATGGTGTTCTGTTAACAAGAGAACACCACAGCCTAGCTGTGAGTGCCAGGCCAATTCCTAACAACACCAGGGCCTAGTTGATTGTGTCAGGCTGGAACTGCTTTTCTATTTCTCAAACATCTTCATGAGTTTAATATTCCCCTTAATACTTAAGTAATAGGTTTGATAATAATATAAGCATTTGAAGTAATATATTTAATATTTAAGATCTCTATAGTGGAGTACATTCTGTTTTCTAGTTCTGTTCCTCTAAAAAGCTCTTATCTCTAATTATAATTTTTGTAATATTAAAAGTAAAGTCTAGAATACTATGTTTGGCCTAAATGACTACTTTTTTGAAAGATAAATGTTTTCAGTCTGCATCAAAAGCAGACTGCATTGTACCAGTGCTGAAAGTTTAAAAGAATCTTATTTTACAGCAAACATCAAATCAGATGCAAACAGATTCATTATCTCCATCCTCTAATCCTGTGTCACCTGTGCCTTTGAATAACCCAACAAGCGCCCCAAGATATGGAACAGTGATCCCTAATCGCATCTTTGTAGGAGGAATTGACTTTAAGGTACCTATTTATGCATGCAGTAAAGTGTATTTTTCTGTTAGAAATCTTTAGTTCTCAGAAATTGTTTCTTGTGCAACTATAAAATAACATATTTGCATAATGATTAATAGATTTCGAATTGTCTTATAGTCTTTTCAACCAGCATGTAGGTACGTAGAGCATAAACAATTATTCAAGTTCAAATACAAGGAAATTGAGCCTCATTGACTTGCTATAGCCTCCTTAGCCTTTTAAGGAGCCTTTTAAGCATTTTAAGTAATATATTTAATATTTAAGATCTCTATAGTGGAGTACATTCTGTTTCCAGAATGTACTGGAAACTAGTACATTCTTCTAGTTTTGTACCAGAAGCCTAATTTTCTGTCTTATAGCTCCACACTCTTCCATACCAGAACAAATTATACTTTCTTGCCTAATACTCCATTAGCCAAAATAATGATGATTATAACTTTCTAAACAGACTCCATTTTTCAAAAACTTAGTTTTATGAAATCCTGTTTCTTTATCCCAACTCATATCTCAGGTTCCTGAGCAACCTCCTAAGCTTCTATTCTTTGCAAAGTACTTTCTATGTTAGAATTTAGGATTCGATCACCAAAAAAGTCCTGTGTCCTTGTCAGAATAAAGCATCTTAAAAATAATCCTAGCACTTTGAGAGGCCGAGGCAGGCAGATCGCCTGAAGTCAGGAGTTTGAGACCAGCCTGGCCACCATGGTGAAATCCCATCTCTACTAAAAGAATGCAAAAAATTAGCTAGGTGCAGTGGTAGGTGCCTGTAATTCTACCTACTTGGGAGGCTGAGGCAGGGAGAATTGCTTGAACCCCGGCTGCAGTGAGCCAACACCATGCCACTGCTGCACTCCAGTCTGAGTGACAGAGCAAGACTCCATCTCCAAAAAAAAAAAAAAAAAAAGGTAATATATTTAAGCAGAAAAAATAAATATTGGTATCAGACTTAGTACCTGGGTGCTAAAATAATCTGTACAACAAATACCCATGGCAAGTTTATCTTTATAACAAATCTGCACATGTATCCTGAACCTAAAATGAAAGTTTTTTAAAAAGTAATATATTTATGTCATGTAATCAGCCATTCCTCTCTTTTAAGGAAACATAGTTCATGAGATGTGCAGCACGCCCTGCCCCTGCATATGGGAGGTAACAGTAAACACCTACAAGAAAGGGATGCATTGATATTTTAAGTGGAATACTCTTACTTTCAAATGAATGTATAGAAGGATTTCCAAACTTCTATTTTACATATTAGAAATTATAGGGAGAGTTATCTTTTTTAACAAAAAACGAAAACCTTCCTTGTGCCATTAGGTGTGACATTTGACATTTATAACTCACTATTTCCATATAATCAATCAATTACAATTTGGGTGAAATTTCTTTTTTCCTGCACAAGAGAAATGTTACGTTTAGTGTATTTGTCAAAACAATGAGTCTTAAACAAGTGTATGGTTGTTTCACTAAAAATAAAGTAAGAAAATTATTTCTTATAAAATGTTTATTCTTAAAAAGATTTTCTGTATCTGGAAAATACTGATGGCTGGCAGAAATATTCAATTTGGGAATTCATTTATATTACAATAGCATAGCATGTTTTTAAAAATAAGTTATCAATAAATATAAACATTCATATGGCCAGGTTATTTTAGGTTACTAGAGCCCATCAGCTACAGCATGAACTTTGGAGATGGTGTTATAATGCGGCCATAGCTTTAGAGTAACTGCTAGGGCTCCCTCCTCTATACTTACACCATTTTCAAAAACCACAGATAAAGGCCAGCAAATAAATAGTTTAATAGCAAGTAGTCACAGACGTTTTAACCTCTCATTTTTAGAAGCAAACCAACTATCCCTCTTAATGCTTATTTTTCTTAACTATCCCATTATCACTAAAGAAGTGGAGCTACAAAATTGAGCTAGTGATTATTCTACCAGAGAATAGCTGGAATTAATTTGTATTCAAATATCTAGTAACAATTCTTATTCTGGCATTGATTTCATTTTCTGTTAACTGAAATAAAATGTATTTAATTCTTAGATTAAATCAGTATTTGTCATTATCCAGCTTAGCAGGCTTTATGTTACCAACTAAAAACCAGTAGTGTATGTAAGTGGTGAGGTAGTAGTTGAACTCGAAAGGCATAGCTCTGCTCTAGGGCATATCTTTTTCCAGTGTATATAAAGAAATTTTTTTCTGAAGAAAAGTTACTCTTGGAGACAAACAGTAGCAGCTAAACCAGAAAATGAAATTGCAGTGAATTTAGTATCAGTATTCTGGGAAAAGGTGACATGAGTCTATCAGACTATTTCAATTAAAAAACCAGATATGCCAAAACCATCTTTGTAGATACCATGTAGGTTTTAAATCTAATTATGATTCCAGCTTTTATTTTTAATATCAAAACAATGTCTGAATTTAGCTGAAATACATATTGAGTACAGATAAGGAATCTAATAACTTTAAATCTTACAGTCACTCTGTTGTTCTCACAGTTGAGTTCAAGCACTTTTGGAAATACATTTCTTTCCTAAAACCTAACTTAGGAAAGGAGTTTCTGACTACTGATTAAAATAGAATGACTGGTGTAGGCCAACATAACCTACTTCCACTGCCGTGACTGTCAGCTTCTCTGAGCCACAAGCGCCAACAGTAATATACCCTTATTATGGAAATAGCATTCCTAATATAAATTGGTTTTTAAAAAACTGGCCAGCTAGAGAACAAGAATCATTTAAAGATTTCTTTAAACAGTGAGCATTATGGTTTTAAAATAATTCAGCTTAAATTTTTATTCACATATACTAATTTAACAACATAGCTATTGCATAAAGCAAGGTATTTACATTGATTTTAATCACCTAGTGGTTTATGCACTGTTTTGATGATGAGAGGCATTTTTCATGCATCTTATCTATAACTTTCTGTCTCCAGAGCAAGCGTAAGAATTATTCATCTTTTATCAACTAAAAACTGTTTTTTCTTTTTATGCCATTAGACAAATGAAAGTGATTTAAGAAAATTTTTTTCCCAGTATGGGTCTGTGAAAGAAGTGAAGATTGTAAATGACAGAGCTGGAGTATCCAAAGGGTTAGTATCACTATAGATTACATATAGAATTAACAACTCTATTTTTATTGGATTACTAGGTTTTGTATGCTAATTTACTTTGGTTCCATTTTCCAGTGGAGACTATCATGCCCTCTTCTTTCCTCTCACCTTTTGATTTCCTAGTGTGTGTGTGTGTGTGTGTGTGTGTGTGTGTGTGTGTGTGTGTGGTTTTGTGTGCATGTATGTGTATTTTGGAGGGAGGAGACACTAATATTTCTTAATTTGTTGGGAAGTTATTCTTGCATGGGTGGAGGGACCATTCAGTGTTAGGCAGCAAGCACTTAATGTGAGTAGCAGACATACATTAGCTGAGGAACCAGAAGCTAAAGGAATCAGATTCTTTTGGAATTATATCCCTGCTTTAGGCTATAGAGAGCTTTATTTGAAAACAGCTGACACCAAGAAATGTCTGTAGGTTGTGCCTCAGAGACCTAATTAGGGGACCAAAGTGAGAAATATAACTCTAATGAGAATGATTTTAATTGCCATATCAATGAGAATGAAAATTGAGAGGAAAGCAATTGAATGTGTCTTTAAATGTATAGAGCTATTTTAGTGGATTGCTCTGTGTACAAAGCCAAATTTCAGAAAGGAAAAAGGTAGTTTGCATAGTGTACTCACTTAAGGAGTTGGACTGCTAAGTTAAAGAAAATAGATAAGGCAGTAAAGGATTGTATTTATTTTCTTTGAAAAGAGACAAGACATACAAATTTACAAGCATAAGAGAAGAGACCCAATGAGGTGGTATTAGTAAGAAACAACATTCAACAGATAGATACTCTGGAAGAGATTGGATTCTACAGAAAGGTTATTTTTAAACAGATGAGATACATCCTCAGAATGCCAAACAATATTAAGATGAAATGAGATTTACTGCTTTTGTTTGACTAACAGAATTTGCAATGTTTTGGTAATACCCACTTTTTATCATTGAAAAACACACATGAAAATGTAAACTGTATTTTATGCCTTTTCCACTGGGTGGTGTGTGTGTTCTACAAAAAAAAGTCTGAAAATAATTCCTTAACTTTTTAATGTTTGGGCAAGTAGATAAAGAGAAATTTCTTTGTTTAAAAGAACTTTGTGTATGATGCAGTAATTATCAGTTGAAGAAAATAGTAGAGAAGATATTTAGCATTACTTAGAAGAGTTTTCTTAAGTCATCTAAATAGCAATTATGCATTTTCTTTCTTTTTTCTCTACCTATTTTGGCTTTTTGGACATGGTGCACAGTTTGTATCTTCAACATTATATGAATTGTGCTTGAAGGCAGCCGTGAATGAAAAACATGAACTTGCCAGGCACGGTGGCTTATGCCTGTAATCCCACACTTTGTAGGGGGCCAAGGCGGGCAGATCACAAGGTCAGGAGATCGAGACTATCCTGACTAACATAATGAAACCCCGTCTCTAATAAAAATACAAAAAAATGGCCAAGTGTGGTGGCATGCGCCTGTAGTCCCAGCTACTCAGGAGGCTGAGGCAAGAGAATCGCTTGAACCCAGGAGGCAGAGGTTGCAGTGAGCCAAGATTGTGCCACTGCTCTCCATCCTGGGCAACAGAGCAAGACCCGTCTCAAAAAATAAAAAATAAAGAAAAAAAGAAAAGCATGAAATCTGGGTTTTATGTATTTTTAATTAATGTTGTCTGGAAAACATACTAATAATTACATTATCAATTATATGTGTTAATAATGGTAATTAAATAATACATTTACAGTCATTCACCAATATAAGAAATTTTATTATATTGAAATTTTTAATTTTTTAAAGTTATTTTTCTACTTTGGTTTCTCTTAGCCAAACTTCTGTTAGCTTAAAAGGAGATTATTGCTCTGGATTGAAATTTATTGCATCCCAGTTTTTAAGCCACAGCATGAATCTCTTGTGCTTTTCTTCCTTACATACAGTTGAGAGCTGAAGCTGTTTCAAGATCTCAGGGTTTTTTTTTTTTCCTTTTAGTTCCCTGACTCCAAGAGGAGGTGACAGTGTTAAGCTGTGAATGATCCTTCTAAAATTCCCACACTGGTGCAGCATAGAACGATGCTTACTCCAACAGTGGCCCACTATTTAAAAAACTAAATTTTAAAAAATTTTGATATAATTAATATAATATTCCAAGAAAATGATTAATTAGTAATAATTAATAATCCTTGTTATTTAGGTATGGTTTCATCACATTTGAAACACAAGAAGATGCACAAAAAATTTTACAAGAGGTATGATCTTTTGGTGTATTTATTTCTGGAACTTTTTTATTTGAAACTAATCTTTTCATGGTTGAAATACAATAATCAATTGCTTTTTTAAAAAAAAATGCATCTTAAGATTGGCGTTGGTCTCTAGGAAACTTTTTCTGCAGAAGAGCAAATTCCAAAATCATTGCAAGTGTGGTTGTGAAATTGTAATATAATGTTTCACTTTATTTGTTTAAACTAAGAACTTGGGAATATGTCTTTTGCCAAGTGTTAATAGCATTTTGAATGTTTAAAAAACACTACAAATATGAATTCCAAAGTGAGGTTATCTGAAATGATTTCTCTCCTGTGAAAAACTTTATATAAACTAAGAATATTCACAGAAAAAAGTCTATAGCCAGTAATTCAGTGTAATAACTTTAAGTTAAAGCAAATGTAGCATTTAACTTTTTTAGGAAAAAAGTAGAATTTGAATTCGAATCATATGCAGTCAATTCTTGTTATTTGTGGCAGTTATGTTCTATTCTATAACATTACTAGGAACACTGAATTAGCAAATATTGAACTACTCTTTCTAGGAGAAATACGGGGTAAGGTTCCCAAGAACCTCTGGTCACAATATTGCTGTCAACCGATCAATATATAACCTTGTTTCATGTGTTTTTCCATTTAAAGGCATCATATATAATAGATTAATGGCTCATTAACATTGAACTCATGGCCAACAGCACTATAATTCATGCTTGAATTAAGCACATCTAATATATATCTTCTCCATAAGGCCTATGACAGTCTTCTTGTGCTAGCCAGCACTTCAGCACCACACATGGGGGCCATTTTAAATAGCAAAATCACCAACAAAAAGCACAAAAATCGAGACAACATGGCACTAAATAGAAAGCTCTCTCGTAAAGTATGAACACTGGAACAAGAAGAGAGAACATCGCCTTATTTGACCTCAGCTGAGAGCATGTGTGTCAGGCTACTCAAATTTTCCACTACTCTGCACATGTCTACTAATAACCTCAAAATTGCCACAAATATTAATTTTAGGGTTACAAATAAATTTTAGCAAATAGGCAAATTTACAAATACAGAATCCATGACTAATGAGGACTGACTGTATTACAAATGGGGATTTGCAGTCAGACCCAGATCTGTTTCAATCTGAAGACTGCTCTTTCCCACTATTCCTTGCTGCTTTCAAAGAATGTTATAGTCTGAATTTTTGAAATTCTTTCTAACTAGTTTTTCCTTATTGATTTTATAAATAATAGTGCTAAAATAAAATAATTTCTTTTTTCTTTATTTTAGGCTGAAAAACTTAATTATAAGGATAAGAAGCTGAATATTGGTCCAGCAATAAGAAAACAACAAGTAGGGATCTCTCGTATGTATTGAGACCTAATGTATTTTTAAATATTTTTGCATGGTTCTTTTTTGAAATATTAGACTTTTTATAGAACTTTATTAAAAGATCATGTTTCTTTCATTTAATAACGTTATTTTAGCAAAGTTGGTGGTCAAATGAATATTTTTTGCCACAAAATAATATATCTCAGTTTTTTTGGCTGGGGAAAAAAATGTATATACACAATGATGCTTAAGTATATTCCATATAGTTACGTCATTAAAGGAAAAATCTTGTGTGACAAAAGTATCGTTTAAAATAGCAAAAGTAATAAGAAGTAATTTAATAATTTAGACTAATAAGAAAAATTTTAATTAGAAAGTAATTTAAAATTAATCAGAGTAAACACACTGAAAGTGAAAACACAGAACTAATATCAGAAACTCGATGCATGCTACGTACGTACGGTAACCCAGCCAGATGTGTCATAATTTTCAGAGGAGACAATCTTAGAGCTTTAGGAATTAGCTAAATTATGTACCTACCTTCCTCAAATTTCTCTAATGCTTTCAATTCTATTATTTTTTCCTCACTCTATTTATTAGGTTGGCATCTTTATAGTTAACTTTTTACCTTTAATATTTATTAAAATCCCTAACACTGTTTGGCTAGAAGAAGGAATGTGATGTAAAATTAGTAACTAACTTATTTTCCCTTAGCCAAATCCTAGTGTCTACGGGGATGTTTAAAACATTGCCACAACTATAACAAAAGAGATTAACATATGTTAAGTTTAATTTTGACTTAGTATTTGTTAATTTAGGAGACAATCAAAGTTTCTCTGGTAGGTTATTATAAAATGAAATGCAGTAAATATGGCAGAATGCTGAATATTTTCAGACTACTGTTGTTACTTACAAAGGTTAAGCTAGAACATACAGTAATGGTCCTTTAGCCCATTATCACCAGCAATCACCACTAAATAGACATGTTCATAATATGAGCCACCAGTTGCTGAAATACAAAATAAATCAGCACTATGCTGAATGCTTTCAAATATACAAACAGTTTTTTAAAAACTATTTAGTGCAAGGGTCAGTGTTAAGGGTTTTCATTCATTTCATTTAATCTTCATAGAAACCCATGAAGTATTATTATCTCTATTTTTGTAAATAGAAAATTCAGTCTCAATAGGGTAAAATCTTTGTTTTGAAAACATTTCTGCTGAAGTACTCCTAAAGGTAAAGGAGAGTTAATCTTGGCGTGTTGTGGTTCCTAACCTGCTGCAGCATACTAGAATTGCAAATTTTCTCAGGATTTATTTTTAAAATAATGTATAATTTGCATTCTTTTCCATAGTATCATATTGTTTATTTGAATACAAATGTTTATTTGAATACAAAAATGTTTTCCAAAAACAACTGAATAAAACTTATTCTCTAGGAATATTACTATGTTCAGCCTCTGCTTTTTCATATCTCCTGGTTTGCCATCCGTCTATCTCTTATCCAACTTGGAGAAGTATGGGGTTAAATAGCCTAATGGTGAGTGGTAGCATTAGCCTTCAAATGCAGGACTGTTTGACTCCAAAGTTCTTTTGACTTTTCTCCAAAGAAAAAGAGGTATTAAAAGTACATTTACAAACAAGGGATTCTTAGATCTTAGTTTTTTCTTACATCTGTCATTTCTTTCCATCTCCATTACCAACACCCAAGTCCCAGCCAACCACTCTGCTTAACTTAATTCCTGGAAAACCATCCTAAGTGGTCTCTAAATCCAATCCATCTACCTTCCAATCCGTTGTTCACAAGGCAGCCGGAGTGATCTTTCAAAAGTGCACCTCTAATTGTTTTATGCTTAGCTTGTTTTGAGGTATTGTTCCCTTTTCTTTCCATGCTTTAGCCATCTAGCCTTCTTTCACTTCCAGGACATACTATATTCCTGTTCTCAGAATCTACTATTCTGTTTTCTTTACCTAGAATATTCTTTGCCATCATATTAATTCTTTAGAGCTTAGCTGAAATATCATTTTATCACAAATGTTCTATATATATGTATATAGAGAGAGAGAGATTTCACATAGGTTTTGTATGTGTAATAATTGAAATGTTTAGTATTGTAATTTATACTGCCTTCTCATGTATTTATCAAAATTGTATTTAATTAATTAATTGTGTAATCAATTAATGACTGTCTTTAGTCATTAGTTGTAACTTCTTTGAGGATACAGACCCATGCCATGTCTAATTTTTAAAATTTTTTGCTGTATCGCTAGGGCCCAGTTCAATGCCTTGAAATAGTATGCACTGAAAATTTATTTATTTATTTAGCAGGTAAAGCATGGTTCATTGATTATCTTTTGGGGGGAATCCATGGACCTCCTGAATTGTGTGTAAAATTGTGTTTGTATATATATCTGAGGAAACGGTCCCTGTCTTTCATCGAATTCTTGAAAGGATCTAATTAAGAACCACAAAAATAATAACAATACTAGAACAAATACAGTGAAAATATAAAAGCCGAGGAGCAATAGTATTACTTAACATGGTAGGCTGGTACTATTTAACGTGTGGTTTGCAGACAGTGTCAGTTCATTGGAAGCTGTCAAAATGCAAATTCTTAGGCCCTGTCCCAGATTTACTGATTCAGAATCTCTTAAGATAAATACCTGGAATTTGTATTTTAATAAACAATATAGGTGATTCTAATTTATGTGAAATTTTGAGAAGCACTGGTGGAAGAAGTATTGTCAGTTTCACTAATTTATATAACCTTGTTGGTTAAGACCCTATTCTAAATTTAAGTTTTAAAGTCTCCTTCATGACAAAAAATATATATGTATATTGTTTATTGTTTTTTGGTTTGGTGGAAGTGGTTATATAAATTGGCCTGGAAAAAGAGATGAGGACCCCAGACTAGCCACATGAAGACTTGCGGTCATGTTTGCGACAGCAGTAGTTGTCGCAACAGGAGAGTAGATAAAAAATAGATCATAGAAAAGAGAGATAAAAGAGAGCCATAGCATGAATTAATGTTTGCTGATAGGATAGCCAAAGAATTAGTGGGGTGGAACCAAAATGCCTTCAGGAAAGTAGAATCTTCTCCAACTTTTACTGCCTCTATCATCTTTGGACTTTCAGAAATAAAAGGTCTAGCCAAACCTTAGGAACTTGAGTACAGTGTATGTAGTCTTCAAGTAACTTTAAATTATACATAATTTATGTTTGTACAAATAATTACTTTGCAGATGATAATCTAAATTGTTAAGCTCTTTGTAACATTATACTGATGGTGGAATCTGAACTGATAAATTTTTAATATTTGTTAGTATTATTTTATCTTTTCTTTTAATCACCTTAAACAAAAAGCTTTAAAGTATTGAGTTTAAAAATATATGCTTCAAAGATACTTTGACATAAGGAACTTTTTTTTTTTTTTTTTTTTGAGACGGAGTTTCGCTCCTGTTGCCCAGGCTGGAGTGCAATGGCGCGATCTCGGCTCACCGCAACCTCCGCCTCCTGGGTTCAGGCAATTCTCCTGCCTCAGCCTCCTGAGTAGCTGGGATTACAGGCACACGCCACCATGCCCAGCTAATTTTTAGTATTTTTAGTAGAGACGGGGTTTCACCATGTTGACCAGGATGGTCTCGATCTCTTGACCTCGTGATCCACCCGCCTCGGCCTCCCAAAGTGCTGGGATTACAGGCTTGAGCCACCGCGCCCGGCTCATAAAGAACTTTTTAAATACCTCTGTCATCCAATTTTTACTATAGCCACATAGGTTTATTAAGATAATATTTTTAAGAAGGGTTTAGAAACTACAATTTTAACAGTTAAATTGAACATTTCAATTATTATTATTTAATCTTTGCTTTAGGTTCTAGTATAATGCCAGCAGCTGGAACAATGTATCTAACAACTTCAACTGGATATCCTTATACTTATCATAATGGTGTTGCTTATTTTCATACTCCAGAGGTAACTTCTGTCCCACCACCTTGGCCTGTAAGTAATTTCATTTAAAAAGGATTTCCGTCTACTACTATCAATTTTTTAATGTTTGCTTTATTTCTGAAATATTTCAACAACAGATAATTACGTATAATAATATAACACACATCTCTACAAACCAAATTTAATAGACATTGACATTTTGCCATATTTACTCAAGTTCTTAAAATGGGAAGTAAAGTAAGACAGCTTCAGGCCAGTTCTCCTTATCCCCACCTCCTTACCCTCTTTCCCTCTTCAGAAGTAAGCAGAATATCTTTCCTATTCATTTTAAATACTTTTATGACAAATATATATATTCATAAATTACATATAGTATTGCTTTGGTGGTTTTCAGATATTGTACAAATAATCTGGTTTTTATACTCAGCATTATATTTTTTGATCAAACCATGTTTATCTCTTTTTAGATTGTGTAATGTTGATCCTTATATATCTAATTCACCTTTTTAAATATTTTAGAACTTTCCATTGTATGAGTGGATTACAATTTTTTATATTCCTCTATTGTTGGACATTGTACGTTTTTTCTACAAACAAGGCTACATTGAATATCCAGATCTTATACGTATTATGTGAGAGTTTTTCTAGAGCAGTGATTTTCTAAGGTTTTGCTTATTATATAAATTCTCTTATGTAAATTTCTCTAAATTTTTTGAAATAGTATGAGTACACTCACTCATGTTTAAGTTGCTATCTGGAATTTATTGCAGTTTAAATAGCTTAGGAATATTGTATATTATAGATTTATATATTTTCATCAAAACTTCGTATCTGCAAATTTAGCTTATTTTAATAGTGGAAAGTATCTGCTCTATAACTCAGTTAACAAAACCAATCAACCAAATAAAACTACTGAATAAAACTTTCTACTAGAAAATTCCAACTTTATTTATTTATTTTATTTTGAGACGGAGTTTCGCTCTTGTTACCCAGGCTGGAGTGCAATGGCGCAATCTCGGCTCACCGCAACCTCCACCTCCTGGGTTCAGGCAATTCTCCTGCCTCAGCCTCCTGAGGAGCTGGGATTACAGGCATGTGCCACCATGCCCAGCTAATTTTTTGTATTTTTAGTAGAGATGGGGTTTCACCATGTTGACCAGGTTGGTCTCGATCTCTCGACATCGTGATCCACCCGCCTCGGCCTCCCAAAGTGCTGGGATTACAGGCGTGAGCCACCGCGCCCGGCCCCAACTTTATTTTTAAACTCAAATAAATGAACTAATATGTATCCATGTGACCTTCAGCTAATTTAAGTTTGTTCCTTAGATAAAATAGTATCATCTCTCCCTTAACATTTCTTATGCGAGCTCTTTCTGCTTTGCCTTCTCTCATTTTTCAGGGCATTGCCCTCTTGAGTTGTGTGTCTGTTTGGTGCCCTGTTGCTATTATATAATAACATTATAGCAAGATCCAGAAGTGAGGAATATGCCTTTCTTTAGGGAAGCAAAAGAGTGATCGTGAAGGTGGAGTTTTTAAAAGAAGAATCCATGTTACACAGACATAGTCATGGGTGGATCACATCAGAAAGGAATACATATGAAGTTTAGAATCTGAAAATTGGTACTCTTAAAGTTATTGATGTCCATGTATTACTGGAAAATTTTTGTGCTTCCGTAACGTACCTTGTTCTAGGCAAGGATATATACATAGAATTTCACATTCATGAAGTGTGCACATCTTTGTCTAGATGTTGCCAAATAGCTTTTGAAAGCTATTTGAAATCCTAGCCAACAGTTTATGACAGCCCCAATTTTTCCATAAGCTGCCAACCCTTAAAATTACCAGATTTTTACATTTATACCAATATTATTTTATGCAGTGGTATTTTGTTTTATTTTTATTTGTCTAACTTCTAGTAATATTGAATATATTTTCATATATTTATGGTCATTCCACTTTCTTCTGTGAGATGCCTGTTCATATCCGTTGTCCATTTTTCTATTGGGTTGATTTGTTTTTAATCTTGAGTTTATTACATGAATTTTGTGGGTTGTCAATATCTTCTTCCAGTTTGTGGCTTGTCCATTAATTCTTTTTTATTTTTTTCTCATAAAAAAATTATTGTTTTTTTGCTCTTTGTTACAAGACTTTTTGGTTCTTTTTTGTTTTATTTTTTACTACAAGAATATAGCTATTCTATTTTTTATTTTTAATTATATATTATTGCCACTTTTCACTGCCAGATCTTAAATCTTGAATTTATGTATTAACTAATCCATCTGTTTCCTACTATTTTGAAATTAATCCTCTGCCAAATACTAAGTTTCCATATGTATGGGTCTTTTTTTTCTGCTATTTTGTTCCATTGGTGTATTTGTTTGCCTTGCCCAATTCTAATTATTTTGACTTTATAATGAATTCTAATTATTTTGACTTTATAATGAGTCTTGAAATCTTAAAGGTCTTTGTTCTTCTTCAGGAGTCTTTCATCTATCCTTATGTCTTGCTTTTATAAGTATACATTTTATAATTCAGCTTGTTTACTTCTGTGAAAAGCCCTTGTTTTTTTAATTAGAATTACATTAAATAGTGTGGATAACTTGGAACATTTCAGTATTTTAAAATATTGACTCTTTATATCCCTGAACATGATACATCTCTCCATTTGTTTGTCTTCTTTTACTTCTATCCATAAAAAAAGTTTTCTTTCTCCATAAAAAAGCCTGATACATCTTTTGTTGAATTTATTCTTAGTGCACTATAGTTTTGTTGCTCTCATGAAAGCTGTTTTTTAAATCATGTTTTCTAATAGATTATAGCTGATGTATAGTAAAGCTCTTGATTTTTCAATATTGATATTGTATCAGCAACCCTGCCAAACTCTCATTTACACAATTATTTATGATTCGGTATACTTCTAATTCTTTCACTTCTTTTTTTCCCAGAGTTTTTGCACTGATGGTGTCTCTGCTACAGTATTGATAGAGTGAAAACATCATAACCTTGTCTTGAAAAAGGAAGCAAGTTCAGTGATTCACCATTAAGCTTTACATGTGTGCCTATACATATACATACATATGATAAATTTATAAGTGAAAAATCTATGTATATATACATGTAAATACATACATATGCACATATATATATATATATATATATATATATATATATATATATACACACACACACAAACATAGAGAGAGAGACACACACACACACACGCATACTTTGTAGGTTTTGGAAGATACTCTTAACCAGAATTTCTCAATCTTAGTGCTGTTGACATTTTGAGCCAGATGATTTCTTGATTGAGGAACTGTCCTGTGCACTGTACAATGTTTAGAAGTGTCCCTAGGCTCCTCATAGTTATGACAATCAAAAATGTCTCCCGACATTGCCAGATGTTCCCTAGAGGACAAAATCATTCATTGTTGAGAGTTACTGCCCTAAATAAATTAAGGAAGCTACTTTCTACTATTTGTTAAGAGTTTTTAATCATAAAATGGTATGGAATTTTAACAAATGCATTTTCTGTCTCCACTGAAAGTATGGTTTTTCTCCTTTAATCTATTAATATAGCAAATTACATTATTATTTTCTAATGTTAATCTGTTATACAGTTTTATTAGCATACCACAGTGTGTGAATTGTACAAAACTACGATATTTTTCTTCAGTTTTCAGGGTCTGAACCATAAAACAATACAAGTTAGATCCCACATTAGAGACTGAATTTTAATTGCTGTATTAGAGCCAGTTTTACCTATCTTGCAATACAACTTGCCTATTTTATTAATGATCTGGTTTTAAGTAATCTGTTTTGAGGCTTAAAAGAGTAAACCCAAAAAGTGAAAGATCACTTTGAATAATCAAGTGTTACCTGTACGTTTTTCAGACTTAGATTTTTCACTTATTAGTTTATCAACCTAGTAACTCATTTAAATGTCAAATTACTAAAATAAAAATGTCTTTGCTTTAATTATATATATAAAACAAAGGAATGGAACATCGATTATTTGAAACTAGTGGGAAAATTAGTTACGACTGTTCATTCAGTTCTAAATAGTATTATAAACATTAACTGTTTACTGCTGGTCCCCACAATGGAAACAGGCAGTGTCAGCCTAAATGTTGCTGTCATTTTCCTCTAAGTATTCTCTTAGAACTATGTTTTTATAATCTTTGGAGGAAAAAGTTGGAAAAGCAACTTTTCTGGTGGTTGTTTTAGCATTACTATGGAAATTAAACTACGTGGAAGTAAGGATACTATGATGATTTTAATAAAGAGACTTAGCAGAGTTGGTAATAATATCAACAAGAGGTAGAAAAATAACATTTCTAATCATAAACCAGAAGTTGACTGGGTTTAGGTAATAATTTGAGATAAATTTTATTGTGAGCTATTTTAAAGGCTTCTGCCTAATTTTTCTATTTTTCCATCCTCTTATAGTCACGTTCTATATCTAGCTCCCCTGTGATGGTAGCTCAGCCCATTTATCAGCAACCTGCATATCACTACCAGGTAAACACAAATTACAATTAAAATTCTCTCTGAAACTTTCAGTCCTTTCTTAGGTAACTTTGATTTATTTCTCATGCAACCATTCTACTAATTACAAAGACATAGCTCATTAGAGAAATGCAAATCAAAGCCACCATGAGATACCATCTCACACCAGTTAGAATGGCTATTATTAAAAAGTCAGGAAATAACAGATGCTGGTGAGGTTACATAAAACAGGAACATTTATACACTGTTGGTTGGAATGTAAATTAGCTCAACCATTGTGGAAGGCAGTATGGAGATTCCTCAAAGAACTAAAAGCAGAACTACCACTCAACCCGTTATATAATGGGTATATAACCAAAGGAATGTAAATCATTTTACCATAAAGACACATGCATGCAAATGTTCATTGCAGCACTATTCACAATAGCAAAGACATGGAATCAACCTAAATGCCCATCAAGGACAGATGAATAGAGAAAATGTGGTACATATACACCAAGGACTACCATGCAGCCGTAAAAAAGAATTAGATCATATCTTTTGCAGGGACATGGATGGAGCTGGAGGCTACCCTTAGCAAACTAACAGAGGAACAGAAAAACAAATACCACGTGTTCTCACTTGTAAGTGTGAGCTAAGTGATGAGAACTCATGAATACAAAGAAGGGAATAGTAGACACAGGTCTACTTGAGGGTGGAGGATGGGAAGAGGGAGAAGAGCAGAAAAGATAACTATTGGGTACTAGGCTTAATACCTGAGTTATGAAATAATTTGTGCAACAAACCCCTGTGACACAAGTTTACCTATGTAACAAATCTTCACATGTATCCCTGAACCTAAAATAAAAGTTTTTAAAAAAATAAAATAAAATAAATGATTAGTTAAAAAACAAAAAATGAAAAAGAGGTAGTTAATCCTTGGTAGTGTTTTTGCTTTTTTAAATTTTTTTCATTGACAAATAACCTATTCTTGGCGTACATGGTGATGTTTTGATACATATAATATGGTGGTCAAATGAGAGTAATTAGCATATCCATCATCTCAAACATTTATCATTTCTTTGTGTTGGAAACATTCAGTAGCCTCCTTCTAGCTGTTTGAAACTATGTATTATTGTTAACTATAATCATCCTATAGTGGTATAGAACACTAGAATTTATTCCTTCTATTAGCTGTAATTTGGGGACTTTTTCGTGGGGGTTTTCTCTGTGGTTTGTTTTTTTTGTTTTGTTTTGTTTTTTTCCGTAGGTTTGTGGGGATTTGGTTCTTTAGTGGTGATTTGTGAGATTTTGGTGCACCCATCATCCTTACAGTATACACGGAACACAATTTGTAGTCTTTCATCCCTCACCCCCTTCATACCCCTTCCCTCTAAGTCCCCAAAGTCCATTGTGTCATTCTTATGCCTTTCCATCCTCATAGCTTAGCTCCCACTTATAAGTGAGAATATAGAATGTTTAGTTTTCCATTCCTGAGGTAGCTGTAATTTTGTATCCTTTCACAAACCTCTCCCTGTTTTTCCTTTCCCTCTATCCTTCTCAGCCCCTAGTATTCTTTTTAATTCTATAAGATAAACTTTTTTTTTAATAGAACATGGTACTCTTTATTGTGATGCTCAGTGGAAAACATCTGTAAACCAGCTTACTGAAGTGATGACAGTTGCAACCCATGCTAAGGCACTTTTATTACATAAAAAAGGGATTAGGGTGGGAGTTACATTCATTTCTTTGTGACAGCAATGGGACCTGAATTCAGAGCTTTGCAGGCATATGAAGCTTTTACATCACTTCATTATTTGAGAGTTTGTTTCCTTTAACAACAACAACAAAAAATACCTTTTTGCCATACGTAAGTCTCAACGCAGCATATGCAAAAACAGGAATACAAGTAAGTTCGGCAACCAGTGTAGACCAGCAGAGGACAAGCTACTCTCTTCTAAACATGGCTCAAACAGCAGTGAAAAAGACTTGGAAATTTATCATTTATTACAAGAAAGGTGGGGGAAAGAAACCTTTCCTTTTTTGTAGATATCTGTGCAGGTGGCAGATTTTTGAGATCAGTGTTTTTTAGCTTCCACATATGAGTGAGAACATGTGGTGTTTAACTTTCTGTTCCTGCCTTATTTCACTTAACATAATGACCTCCAGTTCCATCCATGTTGCCATGAGTGATAGGATTTTATTCTTTTTTATAACCAAATAGTATTCCATCATGTATATATGTATCACATTTTCTTTATTCGTCTGTTGTTGGACACCTATGTTGATTCCGTATCTTGGCTATTGTGAATAATGCTGTAATAAACATGGGGGTACTGATGTATCTCCGATACGATTTCCTTTTTCCCAAATACATTCCCAGTAGTGGGATTACCGGATCATATGCTAGTTCTATTTGTAGTTTTTTCAGGGACCTCCATACTGCTCTCCATAGTGTTTGTACTAACTTGTATTCCCACTAAAAGGGTAAAAGAGTTCCCTTTTCTCTACATCCTCACCAGCATTTATTATTTTTGTCTTTTTGACAATAACCATCCTAACTGAGATGAGAAAATACCTCTTTGTGGTTTTGATTTAGTTTCCTGATAATTAGTGATGCTGAGCATTTTTTCATATATTTGTTAACCATTTCTTGTCTTTTGTGAAATGTCTGTTCAGATCATTTGCCCACTTTTAATCAGTTTATTTTTTGTTTGTTTGTTTTGCTGTTGAGATGTCTCAGTTCCTTGTATATTTTGGACATTAATTCTGTGTCAGATAAGTAGTTTACAGATGTTTTCTCCCATTCAACATGATGTCTCTTCACTCTGTTGATTCTTTTCTTCACTGTGCAGGAACTTTTTAGTTTAATATAATCAAACTAATGGAATGAATTAGGGAGAATTCCCTCTGCTTCAATTTTTTGTAATAGTTTGTGAAGACCTGGTATTCTTATCTAAAGGTTTGGTGGAATTCAGCCGTGTAGTTCTGGACTTTCCTTTGTTGGAAGACATTGTAATTACTGATTCAATTTTGTTACTTGTTATTTGTTTCTTAAGGTTTTCAATTTCTTCTTGGTTCACTCTTGGTAGATTGTATATGTTCAGGAATTTGTCTGTTTCTTCTAGATTTTCTGATTTATTAGCATGTAGTTGTTCATAGTAGTCTCTAATGATCCTTTGTGTTTCTGTGGTATCCATTGTGATGTCTTTTTCATTGCTGATTTTGTTTATTTGAGTGTTCTTTTTTTCTAAGGCTAGCTAATGATTTGTCGGTTTTGTTTTTCGTTTTAAAAATCAACTTTCGTTTTATTAATATTTTGTATTTTGTAGTCTCAACATTGTTCATTTCTGCTCTGATTGTTAATATTTCTTTTCTTCTACTAATTTTGGGTTTAGCTTGTTCTTGCTTTTCTAGTTCCTAGAGGCACATTGTAAGGGTGTTTCTTTGAAATATTTCTAGTTTTTTTGATGTAAGCATTCGTTGCTATAAATTTGCCTCTTAATACTGCTATTGTTGTGTCCCATAGATTTTGCTATGTTGTGTTTCTATTTTCATTCTTGTTGAAATTATCGGTTGTATTTTTATTTCATTCATTGATTTCTTTAGCTCTAGGATATCTGTGTTTTTTTTTTTAATATCTATCTCTTTGTTAAATTTCTCATTCAAATTATGAGTTGTTTTCCTGATTTGGTTGAATTGTCTCTGTATTCTCTTGTATCTCACTAAATTTCCTTCAGATTATTATTTGTAATTCTTTTCTGGCATTATGAAATGCATATAAATATTTCTGTATGATTGGGGTCTGTTAATAGGAATTGTTGTTTTCATTAGAGGTGACATGTTTCCTTGATGGTTGATGTGTCCCTACATTGATTTCTACATATCTGGTATGAATTTGGAGTAGGTTTCATAGGGGGAGACTTATTTCCATGAATGGGTCTTGGGGTGTTGGTTCAGTGGGGTGCATTGGCCTTGGTTCTAGGTGGACACGCTAGTGTAGTCTCTGTGTAGTCTCAAGCTGTAATCCTCTCTGGTTGTATTTGCAGGTTTCTCAGTGATCTAGGGCAAGAAAGTCTGTGACAATGGTGGTGGGGCTTTGCCAAGGGTGGGCTTGCTGGGCTGTTGCTCAGGTCAGGGTTGTATACATGATCATGGTAAGTCTGGCTCACTGGGCTTGGGGCCACAAGGCTGTTACTCTGGCTGAGAGCACAGGCATGTAATTTCTCAGCCAGCCTGGGGTAGTGCCCACCAGAGGTAGTCTGTGGGGCTGTTTCTCAGGTCTGATATGCAGGCACATGGATCCTTGGCTGGCCTGGGGGTGTGTCTACTGGGGGCAACACATGGGACTTTCTCAGGCCTGCAACACAGCTGCATGGCCATTCAGTTGGCTAAGGATATGTTTGTCAGGCACTATTTCACCAGCTTGGGATGCAGGTGCACAACTGCTCACCTGGCCAAGGGACATGTCAGCTGGGGGTGGCCCATGGGACTATTTCTCAAGTCTGGGACATAGGCACAGGGTGGATCACCTGGCCTGGAAATGTTTCTGTGAGGGCTGTTCCATAGGCCCAGGATACAACCACAGGGCTACTTGGTCACCTGGGATCATGCCCACTGAAAGTGGACTATGGGGCTGCTTCTCAGGCCTGGGACACAGGCTCAAGGCTGCTCAGCTGTCCTAGGGATGTGTCTTCTGGAGAGGTGGGCATGAGGCCATTTCTTAGGTCTGAGGCATGGACACACAGCCATTCCCACTCTCCTGGGGACATTTCTGCCAGGGGAAGTTTCCAGAGCTATTTCTTGATCTCTAATTCCATACACAGGGCAGATCAGAGGCTTATCTGCAGAGCATGAGGCACCTCTGGGTGGTTTCTCAGCCCTGTATGCAGATGTGTAACCATTCAGCTGCTATGAGGATTGAGGACCTCTCTTGCTCAAGGGATTGTAGCAGTTGGACCAGCTCAACAGTGGATTCACCCTGGGCAAGACAGTCAGATTGTCCCTCTAGCTGAAAGTAAAGGCAACAGAAGTTGGTTTCCCTACGGTACAGAACCAGAATCAGCCAATCTTGATCCTCAGGTTCCATGCTGCTGGGGTTGTGTTCAGCCACTGGTATGGACTTGGCAGAATGAAAATGGAACCCCAGTACTGGAGACGTGCAATAGCTACTGGCCCCCTAGAAGAGGGAGCACTTCAGAGGTGACTATGGCCTCAAGATGCTATCATGCTGCAGCAGCTTGGCTCACAGGGTGGGGTTGAGAGGGTGAGGAGTACACACTTTGTACTCCTAATTTGGGGCAATACAGCCACAAATTCCCAGCAGCTCTCCAAACTGTGAGACTGTGGCATTCTCCTGTTGCAAGGAATGTAGATGTCTGCAGTAGCAATGCAGGCTGGTGGAAATATTCTGCTTACCTTTTCCCTGCACTGAGAAATTTCAGAACTCCAGGCAGATCCAATCCTATCAGGAGAGAAGGGGTTGCAGAGGCTGAGTGGCTCCAGGCTTCGCTCCTGGATTTGCAATCACCACAAGGGTGTCTCCACTCCCCTGCTGCACTCCCACACTCTCCTTTTAATGCCCCTGTCAAATTGTAGCTGTTTATTTGTTGCCTTAGTCCTTTCTTGTGGCAGGGTGGGGAGCCAGTGGAAAATGAATGCCAGGCATCTCTGGTCAGCTATATTGCTGACATCATGCCTCTCTTTTTTTACGACGGAACTTAACAATGTCATCCAAGAAGACAGACTCTTTTCTTCCTTTTACCAAATATAATGAGGTCAGTTTTGGTCCCCTGGCTAACATTTAATCTAAAAAGTCTTTAGCAATAATTCCCCAAATAAGATATAGGTATTGGATGCAAGTTGGTTTTTTAATGTTAACATATGTCAGTTTTTCACATAATTTATATTAAAGTAAATAATATATTGTGGTTTATTATATATTATGACATCGTCTTTCAGTTAACCAGGACTCTTCATCAATTCTAGTAAAAAATTAGGGATAAGTGAACTAAAATGCCAAACCATTTTGGTCCAGAGCAAGGTCATCGAACTATGGTTTGCAGACCAAACTCCAGCCAGCAGACTGTTTTTGTAAATAACGCATTATTGGAACACAGCCACATTTGTTTACTTAATGTCTGTGGCTCCTTTTGTGCTTCAGTGGATGAGCTGAGTAGCTGCAGATACTCCTTTTTTCCCCTTATCCTAACCCTAGACAACCAGCCATCTACTTACCTGTTTTTCTAGATTTGCCTATTCTGGATATATTCTATAAAGTGAATCATGCAATATGAGGTCTTTTGTGACTGGCTTCTTACACTTAGCATAATGTTTTGAAGATTTATCTATGTGATGGAATGTCTCAGTACTTCATTCATGAATAATATCCAATTATATGGCTGCACTGTATACCACATTTTGTTTATACATTCATCAGATGATGGACGCTTGAGTTGTTTCTATCTTTTGACTGTTTAAATAATGCTGCCATGGATGTTCACATACAAATTTTTATGTAGACATATATTTTTATTTTTATTAGGTCTTATAACTACAGTGGAATTGCTGGGTCATATGATAACTCTATGTATAACCTTTTAAAGAAATGTCAGACTGTTTTCCAAAGGGCTGCACCATTTTACATTCCCACCAGCAGATCTTGAGGGCTCTAATTTCTCCACATGCCCATCAACACTTAAAATCTACTTTTTTGATTAAAGCCAACATAGTGGGTATGAAGTGGTGTTGTATTATTGTTTTTATTTTTATTTTTCTGAAGGCTAGTGGTGTTAAGCATTATTTCTTGTGTTTATTGGCCATATGTATATCTTCTTTGGAGAAAAGTCTATTCATATCATTTGGCTGTATTTAAGTTGTGTTACTTGTCTTTTGATTATTAAGTTGTAAGAGTTCTTTTTTTTATTTTATTTTATTTTTTTTTTTTTTTTTTTTTTTTTTTTGAGACAGAGTCTCACTCTGTCGCCAGGTGCCAGGCTGAAGTGCAGTGGTGTGATCTCGGCTCACTGCAACCTCCACCTCCTAGGTTCAAGCAATTCTCCTGCCTCAGCCTCCCAAGTAGCTGAGACTGCAGGTGCACACCACCACGCCCAACTAATTTGTGTATTTTTAGTAGAGATGGGGTTTCACCATTTTGGCCAGGATGGTCTCAATCTCTTGACCTTGTGATCCACCAGCCTCGGCCTCCCAAAGTGCTGGAATTACAGGCATCAGCCACCACGCCTGGCCCTGTAAGAGTTCTTTATACATTCTTGATATAAGTTCCATATTTTCTTTCATCCTGTGGGTTGTATTTTCACTTGTACAAAAGTTTTTTAGAGTTTTGATAAAATCTAATTTAACAATTTTTTTGTTCTTGTTGCTTTGTTGTTTGTGCTTTTGGAGTCATAATTTTTAAAAACATTTCCTAATTCAAGGTCACAGACATTTACACCTGTTTTTTTTTCTAAGAGTTTTATAATTTTTGCTTTTACATTTAAGTCTCTGATCCATTTTGAGTTAATTTTTGTATATGGCTTGAGTTAATTTTTGTGTATGGTGTGAGGATCTAACGTCATACTTTTGTCTGTAGAGATCCAGTTTTAACACTTGTTTATAATCTGAGTGAGTTTTTGTTTCCTTTTATTTCATTTTAGGCCACTACACAGTATTTACCAGGACAGTGGCAGTGGAGTGTTCCTCAGGTAAATGTTAACTTTTAATTTTAAATCCTTCTTTCATTATATTCTTGTGAAGACTGCATGAATACTAAAGTAAGGAGAACTAGGTTTGAGACTTCTTCTATTTATTAACTGTGATTCTTTCAGTAGTTCATTTTCAGTTTCTTCATTTGTAAAATGGATGTAATGATACTATACTTTTGTAAGTTTCCTTACATGATTTTTGTGAATATCAAATAATGCATAAGTGAAAGCATTTTATAAATGAGTGCCGTATAAACATGAAAAATTACCCTTTTTCACTATTAGTGTTTTTTGAAAATTTAGAATTTTTCTAGCTTTACTTCAGATTTGGCTTCAGTTTTTATTCAGTTCCTAAATAAATATTCTATTTTCCAACTTTTGGTAACAAATAGTTTATCACCAAAAAAATTGTTTAATGGCATTTTCCCACTTCTATTAGAAGTAACAGAGCTGAGAGCAGACATTTATGTCAATTTAAATACCATTGGTCACATTATTACAACCTTTACTGGTGATACTAATATAATCGTAATTATTATCTGAATTTATATATGAGGTTCTGAGTCATTAGGAAGTTTTAGTGCTTACCAGTGATAGGATTCTTTAACTACATCTACTCAATTGGAATTTATAACAGATTAGGTCCTAATCTGTTGCTGAGATACTTATGTGCTATTCCCAAAAAAAAAAAAAAAAAAAAAAAAAAAGGAAAATATAAAACAGATACTTCTCTCATCTGTTGGGTAAGTCATTTGGTTTAATAGAAATAACTAATCATATTTGAATTAGAAATATGGTTTTGTATTTTAGTCTCCTGCCTCTTCTGCTCCATTCTTATACTTACAACCTTCTGAGGTTATTTATCAACCAGTGGAAATTGCACAGGACGGTGGATGTGTTCCTCCTCCACTGTCTCTGATGGAAACTTCAGTTCCAGAGGTATGTGTTAGTCTTAAAGTAATTGATCTATAACTACCGCATGTTAACATTTATTTCTTTTTCTCTCTTTCTTAAATTTGTTCAAGACCCTTATTGAAACTGCTTCGTCTTCTGTTTTGTTGATTTATTATCTTCCCTCTCTTATATCTAAGAATGCATCATCTTAGACTTTTTCACTAATTAGTTCTGAACCATTTCCCAAATCAACTTTTTGCTCCACTATGCCAATCTTTGACTTGATCTTTTTGAAACAGTCAAATTTCAAATGCTCTGCATTCTCATTTTGGCTGTCAATCTATATTGTTCTTAACATTCTATTAGTCAAAAGCATATAATTAAAATGAAGAAGAAAAAAATCTTTAAAAAATTATCCTACAAAAATGTAAATTAAATTTATAATTAGAAATTTTAATATCCTCTTCAGCATGTTTAAATTATATTTCTGATCCATTACTGCTAGCTTCACCATCTGTGTGCCAGGAACTGTGCAGGGTATGTTTTATGTTATACTTATTTTATTTTATTTTAAGTTCCAGGATATATGTGCAGGAGGTACAGGTTTGTTGCATAGGTAAACGTGTGCCATGGTGTTTTGCTGCACCTATCAACCCATCACCCAGATGATAACCCTAGCATGCATTAGCTAATTATCCTGATGTTCTCCCTTCCCTAGCCCCCGACAGGTCCCAGTGTGTAGTGTTCCCCTCCCTGTGTCCATGCGTTCTCATTGCTCAGCTCCCACTTATAAGTGAGAATGTGCAGTGTTTGGTTTTCTGTTTCTGTGTTAGTTTGGTGAAGACAATGGCTTCCAGCTCCATCCATGTCCCTGCAAAGGACATGATCTCATTCCTTTTTATGGCTGCATAGCATTCCATGGTGTATATGTACCACATTTTCTTTATCCAGTCTATCACTGATGGGCATTTGGATTGATTCCATGTCTTTGCGGTTGTGAATAGTACTTCAATGAACATACATGTGCATGTATTTTTATAATGGAATGATTTCTATTTTGGGGATATATACCTGGTAATGGGATTGCTGGGTCAAATGGTATTTCTGCCTCTAGGTCTTTGGGGTGTCACCACACTGTCTTCCACAATGGTTGAACTAATTTGCATTTCCACCAACAATGCAAAGCAGCATTCCTATTTCTCCACAGCCTCACCAGCATCTCTTGTTTCTTGACTTTTTAACAATCACCTATCTGACTGGTGTGAGATTTTATCTCATTGTGGTTTTGACTAGGATTTCCCTAATGATCAGTGAAGTTGAGCTTTTATTATCTTTGTTGGCTGCATAAATGTCTTCTTTTGAGAATTGTCTGTTCATGTGTTTTGCCTACTTTTTAACAGAGTTGCTTGTTTTTTTCTTGTAAATTTGTTTAAGTTCCTTGTATATTCTGAGTATTAGACTTTTTTGTCAGATGGATAGATAGCAAAAAATTTCTCCCATTCTCTAGGTTGTCTGTTGACTCTGATGATAGTTTCTTTTGGTGAACAGAAGCTCTTCACTTAATTAGATACCGTTTGTCAATTTTTGCTTTGGTTGCAAGTGCTTTTGATGTTTTCATCATTGAATATTTGCCTGTGCCTATGTCCTGAATGAATGGTATTGCCTAGATTTTTTTCCCATGGTTTTTATAGTTTGGGGTTTTACATTTAAGTCTTTAATTCATCTTGAGTTAATTTTTGCACAAAGTGTAAGGAGGGGGTCCAGTTTCAATTTTCTACATATGGCTAGCCAGTTTTCCCAGAAACATTTTTTTTTTTTTTTTGAGACGGAGTTTCGCTCTTGTTACCCAGGCTGGAGTGCAATGGCACGATCTCGGCTCACCGCAACCTCCGCCTCCTGAGTTCAGGCAATTCTCCTGCCTCAGCCTCCTGAGTAGCTGGGATTACAGGCACGTGCCACCATGCCCAGCTAATTTTTTGTATTTTTAGTAGAGACGGGGTTTCACCATGTTGACCAGGATGGTCTTGATCTCTTGACCTTGTGATCCACCCGCCTCGGCCTCCCAAAGTGCTGGGATTACAGGCTTGAGCCACCACGCCCGGCCAACATTTTTTTATTATACTTTTCAGTTCCGGGATACATGTGTAGAATGTGCAGGTTTGTTACATAGGTATGTATGTGCTATGGTGGTTTGCTGCACCCATCAACCCATCATCTACATTAGGTATTTCACCTAATGCTCTCCCTCCCATTGTCTCCCACCCCTCAACAAGCCCCAGTGTGTGTGACGTTCCCCTCCCTATGTCCATGTGTTCTCATTGTTCAACTCACATTTATGAGTGAAACATGCAGTGTTTGGTTTTATGTTTCTGTATTGGTTTGTTGAGAATGATGATTTCCAACTTCATCCATGTCCTTGCAAAGGACATGTACTCATTCTTTTTTATGGCTGTATAGTATAGTCCATGGTGTATATGTGCCACATTTTCTTTATCCATTCTATCATTGATGGGCATTTGGGTTGGTTCCAAGTCTTTGCTTTTGTAAATAGTGCTGCAGTAAACATATGTGTACATGTGTCTTTATAGCAGAATGATTTGTAGTCCTTTGAGTATATACCCAGTAATGGAATTGCTGGGTCAAATGGTATTTCTGGTTCTAGATTCTTGAGGAATCATCATACTGTCTTCCACAATGGTTGAACTAATTTACAATTCCCACCAACAGTGTAAAAGCATTCCTACTTCTCCACATCCTCTCCAGCATCTGTTTTCTTACTTTTTAATGATCACCATTCTAACTGGCATGAGATGGTTCTCATTGTGGTTTTAATTTGCATTTCTTAATGACCAGTGATAATGAGCTTTTGTTCATATGTTTGTTGGCCGCATAAATGTTCTTTTGAGAAGTGTCTGTTCATATCCTTCACTCACTTTTTAATGGATTTGTTTGTTTGTAGCTCCTGGATATTAGCCCTTTGTCAGATGGATAGATTGCAAAAATTTTCTCCCATTCTGTAGGTTGCCTGTTCACTCTGATGATAGTTTCTTTTTCTGTGCAGAAGCTCTTTAGTTTAATTAGATCCGATAGATCAATTTTAGCTTTTATTGCCATCGCTTTTGGTGTTTTAGTCATGAAGTCTTTGCCCATGCCTATATCCTAAATGGTATTGCCTAGGTTGAATATTAGCTCCCACTCTCTTCTGGCTTGTAGGATTTCTGCAGAGATCCACTGTTAGTCTGATGGACCTCCCTTTGTGGATAACCTGACCTTTCTCTCTGACTGCCCTCAACATTTTTTCCTTCATTTTGATCTTGGTGAATCTGGCGATTATGTGTCTTGGGGGTGGTTTCCTCGAGGAGTATTTTAGTGGAGTTCTCTGTATTTCCTGAATTTGAATGTTGGCCTGTCTTGCAAGGTTGGGGAAGTTCTCCTGGATAATACCCTGAAATGTGTTTTCCAACTTGTTTCCATTCTCCCTGTCACTTTCAGGTAAACTAATCAAATGTAGGTTTGGCCTTTTCACATAGTCCCTCATTTCTTTGAGGCTTTGTTCATTCCTTTTTATTCTTTTTGCTCTAATCTTGTCTTTATGCTTCATTTCATTAAATTGATCTTCAGTCTCTGAATCCTTTCTTCCACTTGATCAATTGGACTATTGATACTTGTGTATGCTTCACGAAGTTCTCGTGCTGTTTTTTAGTTCCATCAGGTCATTTATGTTCTCTAAACTGGTTATTCTGGTTAGCAGTTCCTGTAACCTTTTATCAAGGTTCTTAGCTTCCTTGCACTGGGTTAAAACATGCTCCTTTAGCTCGGAGGAGGTTGTTATTACCCATCTTCTGAAGCCTACTTCTGTCAATTTGTCAAACTCATTCTTCATCCAGTTTTGTTCTCTTACTGGCAAGAAGTTGTGATCCTTTGGAGGGGAAGAGGCATTCTGGTTTTGGAATTTTCAGCATTTTTGTGCTGGGTTTTCTTCATCTTTGTGGATTTGTCTACTTTTGATATTTGATGCTAATGACCTTTGGATGGGGTTTTTGTGTGGACTCCTTTTTGTTGATGTTGATGTTATTGCTTTGACTCCTTTTTGTTGATGTTGATGTTATTGCTTTATGTTTGTTAGTTTTCCTTCTAACAGTCAGGTCCCTCTTCTGCAGGTCTGCTGGAGTTTGCTGGAGGTCTACCCAGACCCTGTTTGCCTGGGTATCACCAGCGGAAGCTGCAGAACAGCAAAGATTGCTGCCTGCTCCTTCCTCTGGAAGCTTCGTCCTAGAGGGGCACCCACCAGATGCCAGCTGGAGCTCTCCCATATGAGGTGTCTGTCAACTGCTACTGGGAGGTTTCTCCCAGTCAGGAGGCATGGGATCAGGGACCCACTTGAGGAGACAGTCTGTCCCTTAGCGGAGCTTGAGCACTGTACTGGGAGATCCACTGCTCCCTGCAGAGCCAGCAGACAGGAATATTTAAGTCTGCTGAAGCTCCACCCACAGCTGCCCCTTCCCCCAGGTGCTCTGTCCCAGGGAAATGGGAGTTTTATCTATAAGCCCCTGACTGGGGCTACTGCCTTTCTTTCAGAGATACCCTGCCCAGAGAGGAGGAATCTAGAGAGGCAGTCTGGCTACAGCGGCTTTGCAGTGCTGAGGTGGGTTCCGCCCAGTTCAAACTTCCCAGAGGCTTTGTTTACCCTGTGAGGGAAAACCATCTACTCAGGCCTCAGTAATGGTGGCTCCCTTCCCCCAACCTGGAGCATCCCAGGTCAACCTCAAACTGTGCTGGCAGCAAGAATTTCAAGCCAGTGGGTCTTAGCTTGCTGGGTTCCATAGAAGTGGGATTTGCTGAGCAAAACCACTTGGCTCCCTAATTTTAGCTCCCTTTCCAGAGGAGTGAATGGTTCTCTCTTGCTGGGGTTCCAGGCACCACTGGGGTATGAACAAAAAAACCTCCTGCAGCTGGTTTGGTGTCTGCCCAAATGGCTGCCCAGTTTTGTGCTTAAAACCTGGGGTACTGGTGATGTAGCACCCGATGGAATTTCCTGTTCTGCAGGTTGCGAAAACCGTGGGAAAAGTACAGTATCTGGGCCTGATAGCACTGTCCCTCACAGCACAGTCCCTCGTGGCTTCCCTTGGCTGGGAGAGGGAATTCCCTGACCCCTTGCACTTCCCAGGTGAGGCAACGCCTCACCCTACTTCTGCTCACCCTCCATGGGCTGCATCCACTGTCTAACTACTCCCAATGAGATTAACTGGGTACCTCAGTTGGATTGCAGAAATCATCTGCCTTCTGTGTTGTTCTCACTGGAAGCTGCAGACTAGAGCTGTTCCTATTCAGCCATCTTGCCCTGGACCTCCCCAGTACCATTTATTAAACAGGGAATCCTTTCCCCATTGCTTGTTTTTGTCAGATTTGTTGAAGATGGTTGTAGATGTGCAGTCTTATTTCTGAGTTCTCTATCCTGGTCCATTGGTCTATGTGTCTGTTTTTGTACCAATACCATGTGCATGATATGTTTTAAATCATTGTCTTGAAAGATTAGGAAATTAGCATTCACCTCTCAATTTAAGTACATTGTTTTATTACTTTTGTAACATTATAATTCTGTTCTGAGACAATAATTTCCACAGTTGGATCTTAATATTTACTATCAATACTTTTACTAGGATTTCTTTATTCTTTGTTTCATGCCCCACGTATTTTTTTTTTTTGTGGTTGCTTTTTTCTTTTTTTCCCCAGCTTTACCAAAGTGTAATTAATAAAAAAAATGGTATACATTTACAGTGTACAGTATGATGTTTGGATATATGTACACATTGTGAAAAGATTACCCCAATCATGTTAATCCATCACCTCATATGGTTATCCTTTTTTTTTTTTCGTTTGTGGTGAGAACATCTAAAGTACCTTAATTCGTAGCAATTTTCAAGTATATAATACATTATTATTAACTGTAGTCACCATGCTATACAGTAGATCTCCAGAGCATATTTATCCTTTAGAACCAAAACTCTGTACCCTTTGACCAACATCTTCTATCTCATTCCCCATCCCCAGCCCTGGCAACCACCATTCTTCTTTCTGCTTCTATGAGTTCGACTTTTTCACATTCTGCATATAAGTGAAATCATGCAGTATTTGTCTTTCTGTGCTTGGCTTATTTCACTTACCATAATGTCCTCCAGGTTCGTCCATGTTGTCATAAATGACAGGATCTCCTTCTTTGTTAAGGCTGAACCATATTCCATTGCGAATAGAGATACTACAGTTTCTTTATCCATTCACCCATTGATAGACACTAAAGTTGATTCCCTATCGATTGACTATTATGAATAATGCTGCAGTGAACATGGAAGTGCAGATTTCTCTTTGACATACTGACTTCATTTCCTTTAGATATGTATACACAGTAATGGGATTTCTAGATCATATGAGAGTATTTTTAATTTTCTGAGAACCCGCCCTACTGTTTTCCAAAATGACCATGCTAATTTACATTCCCACCATCAGTGTACAAGGATTCCCTTTCTTCCACATCCTTAACAGAGATCATTTTCATTCCTTGTGAAGTCCTTTTTATCACAGATATTCTGTATTGGGATGTGGCAGTGCTACTTCCTTTCCCACTTTTACCCTGCTTCACCTCCAGCAGTATTCCTTAGGTAAAAGCTAGATAGTAGACAAGAAAAAATGTATAAATATGATTTCTACATCAATTCTACCTTTCCTGTTACTAAGTCATGTAAAATAGGATCTCTGTGGAGATATTTTGTGCTTCTACTTCACCCTGACCAATACATACTTCTGCACTCAAGACTCTAAAATATCTTTGAAGAGGTCTTCCAGACCATCAACCTCTAGGGAAATCTTTATCCTTTCTGATGTCTGAGGAGGCTTCAGAATCTTCCTCTATATTGGTCCAACTTGCACTTGGCAGACATTTTACATTGTGTGTGGTTTGGGAGTCATAGACGTTTTCCTGTTTAATTGATGGCATTGTAAAAATCTGTATTTTGTCCTTTTTGTTATTTTCTTGTTTGCACGGAGCAGGTAGTGAGATAAGAAAGCTTTTACATTTGATTTTTTGTCAGAATCTCTTTTGGCATTAAATCATATTTTTAATTCCTGATGTCAGATACTGTCAGAATATATGCACTATTTAATAGAATCTAGTAAGGCTTTTCTGAAAATATTGCTCAATATTATCTTATAACTTGTACTTTGTGTGGTATTTCTTTACAAAATATTTGCATGTTTTGATTTCAATATTGTTTCTAGTAGACAGTATAGTCTGACTAATACATAACTTAATGAATAGAGTGGGATGGTTTATAGTTTTTTTCCCTAAAATTAAGAACTTCGGGACTTTTCTTAAGAGTGTTCTAGTCAGACTTCCTTTTAAAAAAAAAAAAAAGTTAGCATCTTCACTCACTTATTTCAATGATTATATTAAACCTTTGCCAAGCCCTCAGTACTACCAGATTGCCCCCACTCCAACAACTGTCTGTGTCATTCGGAAAATACAGCTTTGCCTTCTCTTTTGCAAGGTAAGAACCAATTTGTGGAAACCAGCTCAGCCTCCAACCCTCAAAAGACAAACTTACCTGAATCCTAACTCATCCTTAGCTTCTTATATTTATTTAGCGACTTTCAGTCTTGTCCAAGGTTGTTTATACCTCTTGCAATCTGGATGCTGTCAGTTCCCTCCTCCTCAGGGACCTCATTCTATCTACAGTTATTTTTCTCTCTTGTATTTGAAGTCTTCTTGTCTCCACTGGTTTACAGCTTCACCACTTACTGTGTTACTTTGAGGAATTACTTAACCATTCATAGTCTTGCTTTCAAAATTTTCTTATTTGTAAAATAAGGACATCAGGAAAATCTATTTTGCAGGATTGATGTAAAGACTAGAGATATGGTATACAAAGTTCTTTGCATAGTGCCTAGCACCTTGTAAGAGGCAATGTTATTGATAACTATGATACGCACCCTCACCAATTCCCTAATTTTCTGCTACCCTTCAAAGCCAAGTTTCTTGAAAAAGTAGTCTACATTCAGAATTTCTGCTACTTCACTATCCATTCACTCCTCAGCTGCTGAAGTCTACTTCATTACCTTTCTGCCAAAGCTGCCTTGGACAAAGGTCCTCAATGGCTTCCTAACTGCCACAAACTTTCCTTCCTTTTTAGTCTATTTGACTTCTCAGAAACATACCTACTCCTTAAAACTCTTCCTACCCTTGATTTCCATGATACTACTCTCTTCTGGCAATCCTTTTACCTCCATTTATTTTCCTTTAAAGGCAGAATTTCATATTTGGTTCTCCATTCTTTCACCACATATACTCATTCTGTTGTTATCATCCATAGCCATATATCTAGCCCCAGTCTCACTCCTGAGTTTTAGACTGCACTGTCCACTACAATAGCCACTAGCCACATGTGGCAACTGAGCACTTGAAATGTGGCAAAACCAAATTGAGATGTCCCTTAAGTGTAAAATACATACTGGGTTTTGAAGACACCATATGAAAAAAGAATGTAAAACATCTTGGTAATGTTTATATTGATTATACTTTTATATGATAATAGTTTAGTATGTATTAGTTTAAATAAAATGCATTACTAAAAATTAATTTTACCTTTTTTTCTTTTCTAACGTAACAATGGGAAAATTTTAAATAACATGTGTAGCTCACATTATACTTTTATTTGACAATGCTGGTCTTGAGCCACATCTATCAGTAGTATACTTCTACTAGAATTCCTACAAATATCACAAATTTTGTATATCACAAACCTAACTCCTTCTCTCCAACCCCTCATGCACAATTACATAAATATTAAGCTTTCCTTGTATTCTGTATCCCAATGAATGGTACCACCATCTCCTGGACAAGCCATAATTGCACTTACTTAATCTTCCCCTGCCTGTTGTATCCCTATACGTGTCTGAAGGACTTATGATTATTGTACTATTTCCCTCATCAGATTATAAGAATGTGTTTTTAACTATTTCTACATTGTATAGCAAGATGTTTAGTATATTGTAAATGCTGAATAAATATTTTGAATTAATAAATGAAAGGTAGTATTTTTTTCTCTCACTTTTTTGTAATAGTCTTATTCTGATCATGGAGTTCAAGCAACATATCACCAGGTTTATGCTCCAAGTGCCATCACTATACCTGCGCCTGTGATGCAGCCTGAACCAATTAAAGTAAGAAGTTTGCTTTGACTTTTTACTTTGTTTTTCTTCTATTGTATTTCAAGTTTTCTAAGCTTCTCTTTTAGAAAGGAACAACTTTGGATATTTATGATGAGAAGTACAGAATTAGCAAACTCTTTCGTGTGAATGAAATATAAGTCTAAATTAACTATAATGGTCAATTTTTTATGTATTGTGGTAACATATATGCAACTTAAAATTTTCTATTTTATCCATTGTTAAGTGTACAATTCAATGGCATTAATTACATTCACGATGCTATGCAACCATCACCATTGTTTCCAAACATTTTCCTCATCCCAAATTGAAACTCTGCACCCATTAAGCAATAACTCCTCCTTTGTGCTTCCTCCCAACCCCTAGTCCCTGGTAACCTCTAATCTACTTTCTGTCTGTATGAATTTGCCTATTCTAGATACTTAATATATAGTACTCTGATTTTTATTATCTATATTGATGGCATGTGACATTTATGGGGAGGTGAAAACAATTAATGATCTCCTCTTCCAGTTTGGGAATCATGTTCATGCCTCCTTAGTCAGATTCAGGCCAAAGAATGCTAATCTAGTTATATCCATGTATATAATCAACATATTTTAACTATCTACTATGTAGCAGGGAATTTTTCATATTCCCTTAGGACCAAAGTTCTTAGTGAAACTCTTGCATCATCCCTTTAAGTAAATGAACGTTGTCTGCAGTAGAGAGCCACAGACAGATCAACTGTTGAGATGGTAATATGAATCCTGCATACAGTATACTTTGGTGAGGAAGGTAGGCATAGTCTTTGCATTAAAATAATGGATGTTAGCTATTTCACACTCATATTTATGTTCTGGCACATCCTATGTATTGAACTCAATACCAAGACAGTCTTACTTTAAGAAGCCTCCCAGCCTTCTCATGTCCCTTCAGCCCATCACCGCTCACTGCCATTACCACTCACTGCATCCCTCCACTGCCTTTACCACTATACAGCAAACGTGAAATAAAACCATAATTTTGACATAGTGTCAAAACCTATAGTGTTACTAAACATTACTTATAGAGGCTTCATTTTTAGTATTGTTAGAAAATCTTCCAAAACAGACTTCTTCTGACGTTAACATTTACTCCAAATATACTTCTGCAGAAATCACTGATATTGCTATGCTGTATTATATAAGTGATAGTTATTTTCAGTTACTGAGAGAGTAATTGAATAATTTGAATAGAGGACAGGGTGGTGGGTGGTATTTGGATAGGAGAAATTTCCAAAGGATATTAATGTTAAACATTCTTAAAATTTAATTCTTCTAGTTTTATATATTCTCTAAATTTTCTTAGGTCTGTGAGTAGATAACATCAGAAAATGTACAGAGAAACTGGTATCTTACTCTTTAATGTAGTCATATAAAGATTACCAATTCTGGCCAAGTGTGGTGGTTCATGCCTGAAATCCCAGCACTTTGGGAGGCCAAGATAGGAGGATTGCTTGAAGCCAGAAGTTTGAGACTATAGTGAGACCCTGTCTCTACAAAATAAAAATTTTTTTAACTAGCTGGGCATGGTGGTGCACGCCTATAGTGCTAACTACTCAGGAGGCTAAGGCAGGAGCATCACTTGAGCCCAAAGATTCAAGGTTACAGTGAGCTATGATCACGCCATTGCATTCTAGCCTGGGCAACAGAGTGAGACTGTATATATCTCTAAAAATTTTTTTTATTTTTTAATCACTAATTCCTCTTTTGTTAGAGATGAAAAAAAATCATAATAGACTTCCAAAGTCAAAACTGAAACACGAGACGATTATGTAGAATTTTGTGTTTCTTGTTTTTATTTTTTAAGGTTAAGTGTTCTATGCATTTTATACTCAATATTTTTCTTTGGGTGATTTAGTGGCCCTCAATACAAAATGATGCCCCACTCAAAGACAGACACGCTCGAAAACCACTTCTGTAGTTTTCTAGTACTGTATAACTGTAGAAATGCTTTAATATGCATGTATTACTGTGTGGTAAATTATCTATTTTTATTTATATTACATTTGTATTATAACATGGAAATCTTAATATACAAATGTTGTTCCATATTACAAAACAATCTTTTTCTAAAACATATTACTAATATTAAAATATTAGTGGGACCGGGCGCGGTGGCTCAAGCCTGTAATCCCAGCACTTTGGGAGGCCGAGGCGGGTGGATCACGAGATCAAGAGATCAAGACCATCCTGGTCAACATGGTGAAACCCCATCTCTACTAAAAATACAAAAAAGTAGCTGGGCATGGTGGCGCGTGCCTGTAATCCCAGCTACTCAGGAGGCTGAGGCAGGAGAATTGCCTGAACCCAGGAGGCGGAGGTTGCGATGAGCCGAGATCGTGCCATTGCACTCCAGCCTGGGTAACAAGAGCGAAACTCCGTCTCAAAAAAAAAAAAAAAAAAAAAAATTAGTGAATAACATTTGAAACACTAGCCTTTTTTTACTTCCAATGCAAATTTTCTCTAGTACCAAAAATCTTGGTGATTTTTAAAATAGAAAGGTGGAAATATTCTTTGGAAGAGTTTGAATCTGTTTTTATAAGCATAAGTCATTTTTAAAACTCTTAATGATTACAACTTTGTGAATGTTAATCGAGAATATCCCAAAGCAGGAATTTCACATGTCAAAACTATCTGGAAGCAACAAATCTATTCAATGAAATAGAAACCTTATACAGAGTTCAGAGCACAAGTCTAACTTCTGTGAGGTACTGTTTACCAGAAACTACTCATTGACTGTAAGCCACAGCCTACATACTCTGTCAAGTCAAATACAAAAATGAATAAATACAAAACAGACCAAAATAGAGGTAACTAGATTAATATGATACTAATTAGGGCTATCATTCCCTAATTCAGCAGTAACATCTTACACAGAATCAAGTTTTAGGCCAGGTGTCATAACTCACACCTGAACCCCAGCACTTTGGGAGGCCAAGGCAGGAGGATCACTTGAGCCAGTAGTTTGAGGCCAGCCTGGCAATATGGCAAGACATCTCTAATTTTAAAAAAGAGAAAAAGAGAATTAAGTTTTAAAGTCAACAAAGTGAAACCACATAATGTCAAAATTATTCCACAAACTAGGAAGGAACAAAAGGAAAATCTGTGTTTCTGGGTATATGAACTATTATGTTTCTAAGATAAATATCAAATCCCAAGGTATGAAGGGTATGAGTGGAGAATTCTAAAGTGTTTCTGTTTTCTTACAGTATTTTTACACTTTTGCATTAAGTGTCTAATAAAATTGTTCTTATATGGATTAAGTTCAATTTGTATTTTATTTAACTCTCATGTCTACCAACAAGCCATGAAAACATAGATATTAAGGATCATATTTAACCACTTGCCAGGCTATAAAGAATTTCTTCTAATTAAAGTGCTGATTGGACTTAAATGAAAAACACAACTAATGGTCTACAAAGTATGATTCAGAAGTAAATTGGAAAGGCATCTGAACCGCTACCACTATCTACTTCTAGTTCAGAGACCCAAAGCATGTGCTTACCTAAAAATTAACAACTGTCTCTACTTTATAAAAAGCTTCTGCTGCTTGTGTGTTTTTCCCAACCATTTCCTCATTTGAGTTTCATTAATACTTCTTATAAATCAATTTAGAGACTAAAATTTTCTTGTATTCTGTAAAACCTAGGAAGGACAAGTATAAAACAATATAATATAAAGGGAAGAGACAGGAAAAGCTGGTGCTTTGTAACTCTGAACATATAAGGAAGGTATAAATTTTCATGTATGTGGTATATAGCCAAACAATAGCCTCAGATTCTCTAGAATAAATTTTTCACTCATAAAGAACTAGGCAGGAGGAGCAAAAAAAAATGCTTCCTTTTTGGTGTAAATCTAAAAGCGATGATATAGAACAGTTAGGAGAATCAAGTGTTCATGACACCAGTTATAATTGTCATGGGTAGATCCCCATTGAAGGATGAGTAAACAGAAAATACATATTATATGAGTTCTGTGAAAAAAAAATGAGTATGACACTAAATTGAAGCAAGGATGAATAGTACAAATATGTATAAGAACATATGTATGAGAGGAAATTAAATACAATTTTAAAAATATATCCCATATTCTCAATAATAGATCTTTAAAAAAGCAATTGAAAACTGAAAAACAGGAAACATGAAATGGTTGCTGGCTACTATAAGAAAATACTGCCCAAAAACTGTTTGACATGATAGAAAGAATCATATTTGCCTTTGTCATAAAAGGCCAGTAGTTGCAACAGAAAATGAAATCCTTGACAGAGAAAGATACTTTTAATTCTTCCAGAATGTAAAAGAAAATAACATGAAAGATGAAATGATGAAATAAAATGCTAGAATAGAGAGAACAGAGAGACAGATCCAACCAAAACACAGTAATTCTCAAGAAAAGAATACAGAATAAATGGAACAAAAAGAATGTGCAGAAATTTTAACAGCAAAACAAAAACACTGTGACTTGAATTTACAAATCAAAACAGAATTCATCATGCTTCAAGCAAAATTAATGAGAGGGCAATTCATGCATAGATATCCTAGCAATTATCTTTCCCCCGTCATCCCACTCCACCAAACGTCCTTGGCCTTTTAACATTTTATTTTAAAATAATTTTACACTTACAGAAAGGTTGTAAAAAAAAAAAAATACAGAGTTCATATATCTCTTCACTCAACTTCTGATTTTAACAGCTTATATAATCAAAACAATTAGTAAAACCAAGAAATTAGCATTCATAAAATACTATTAAGTAAACTACAGACCTATTAAGTAAACTACAAACTTCATCAGCTTTTTCAATAATGTTCTTTTTCTGTTCTAGGATCTAATCTTAAATCCTACATTACTTTGTCATGTCTCCTTATTCTCCATCAATCTGTGACAGTTACATAGTCTTTTGTGTCTTTCGTGACCTTAATTCTTTTTTAAAATACTGATTAGTTATTTTGTAGAACACTCTTTACTTTGGGT